CGTTGCAAAGTTTCGGGAATGACATCCGCATATTTATGCAGGATTTGCTCTCGAATTAGTAGTGATTGACATGTGATAACCATAGCAATAGATGGGTCAAAATATGTGAAAATGTGCATTAAGTCTAGATCACCCTCGCTAATTTCAGAAGCACCCTCAGTGATTATTTCTGGTTGGTACGCTTTTATTGTATAGCCTACAAAAACAACAAAATACAAATGCACTAAATAAAATAATTAAATAAATGCATATTTACAATTTAAGCACTTAACTAAAATAAGTATTAAATAATTAAATAAATAACTAGAGAAGGCTAACTATAACCAGTTTGCTTCCATTTAGTAAGAAAAGCCTAGGCTACTCTTCACCTGAATTAGAAAAAAAAGCTCTTCTGGTCTTCAGTGATGTGAGGACAACGTTTGAGCATGTACACGCAATATCTGAGCGAGAGCAGAGCCAATTCATAAAAAAACAATGTATATTTAAAAGCGCACGTTCAGTTTTGTATGAGTGAAGGAAATCCGCTTGCGAGTGGAGAGATTCTTGCTCACGCATTACATGGATCACGTAACATTATGCGCTTTCGACATTTGTAATTAAGATCATGCTATAGAAACTGCTTAAAATTAAGTATAAAGAAGAGAAGAAAGCGGCCCTAGGCAGCTGCCAACACAGGATCCGCCACTGCCAGATGCAGTTAGAAATGTACTAAAAACAAGCCTATCGCAAGATATCTGGTAGGGGGGGCACCTGGGGTGGCCAGCCAAATTTCAGGGGAGGCCAGTGCCACCCCTGGCCACCATGAAGACACGCCCCCTGTCTCCAGCACCACCATTTTCCAGAATTGCAACCTACCTGGAGTCTCCAGAAGTATGTCAGGTTCTCAGAGACAGAATCCTAAAAAATGACCCCTACTTAATAAGAATCATATACTGAAGTGTAGTAAAATACTTGAAGACTGATTTTTATATATATATACAGTATAAGGGATGCACCGATACCACTTTTTCCAGTACTCGCCCGATACCGATACTTTTATTTTTGGTACTTGCCGATACCGAGTACCGATACCAATATTTTATTGCATTCATAAATGTTTTAAATATTGGGTACAGAAACCAAAAGTGTATGTATAATGTTAGTTAGTTGACTTAATTTATCAAATACATACAGTCAAACCAAAATATACTCAGACACCTTAAACATTTCTCACATTATCACAGTTTATTCGCTATAGTTTAGAAGATGGTAATAAAATATAACAAGAACTCAGAGTTAAACTGAGTCAGAACAAATTCAGCTTGATAATGTTAGATAACTTTGATAGAAAGGTATGTAATGGATTACAATCAACCCAAAATTATTCAGACAGCTGTTAGTATGGCAATATTTACACAACTATCAATACTTAGTTGGGCAACCCTCAGCCTTAATGACAGCCTGTAGTCTCCTGGGCATGCTGTCACCCAGGTTCATGCAAACCTGAACTTCATTTTTTTTTTTCTCAGACAAATTTTTGGTCCCAAATTTGTATACATTTTACTAGTAGTCCACTGTATGAAGAAATTTTGGGTATAATTTGTCACATCCTCACTTACATAAATTAACTATTAGTGTCCTGCACCCACTAGTAAAAAAAATAACAAAAATGATATCTGGTCTCTCTCTCTCTCTCTCCCTACCGTTAAGTAACTTGTGCATTGTTTTATATGAAGAAATTTTGGGTATAATTTGTCACATCCTCACTTACATAAATTAACTATTAGTGTCCTGCACCCACTAGTAAAAAAAATAACAAAAATGATATCTGGTCTCTCTCTCTCTCTCTCTCCCTACCGTTAAGTAACTTGTGCATTGTTTTACTTACTTGTTTTTGACGTATCCGACCGAACTACAGACTTTCCAGTGATGTCTGTGAGAAAGGTATATTGACTCGACAAGCTCGCGCATCTGTGACATCCTCTTGTACCACTGTTTGAAGAATTTATCTTCCAGAATATTAAACACCCTCAACTGACCCGCAGCTGGCGGGAAAAAAGAGGTCAGAGAGGGGTCACTGCTTGTGACCTTTGACCCTCTGCACAAAAATAGTTACATCTGACTCGGATCCCTCCTTCTGATAATTTCACCTGTTTTAATGAAAAATGTGCATCTGATCACTTAGTAAAGTAGAAGCACACCTCTCCTTAAAAAGACGTATGATTTGGGAGATGCACTAAACCTACAAAAATACAGAAGACACGTCTGCCCACAGAACTACTGTTTGTTTATCCTCTGGTGATCATGAAAGTCAAAGAGCCTCTCGTCTTTGTGTTCGCAATAATCCTTTTGTACATTCAAGGTTGTTTAGCATTATAACAGAACCATATTTAATATGCGAATGACCGGCAGGATGAAGGATTCTCTCTCAGAGGACTTGAGGAATCTCCACATCTGCATTACATGGCTGTTGCTGAGAGACTTTCAAGGTGAAGGATGTAATTTCTGCACAACTAGTGGCACCAAACAGAACTGCACAAATAATGACTGTCTTCAAACAGGTTTGCAAAACACTCCTCGTGCTTCCTGCCTGCCTCTGATCTCTGATTGGATAAACAAGTAGTCCAGAAACAAAATCATTTACTGTGTATTCATGCATTTGGCAGATGATTTCATCAAAAGTGACTTTTTTTCAGTTTTTCAGTCAGTTTTGGGAGTTAATTTTTAGTCCATCTTGAGATTTTATCTGTAGAAGATAACCTGCTTAATAATTATGCGCACCTGCATATAAAGCGTTTTTCACTTCCAGCCTTCATTAACAATTATATATAGGTTATAAGTGATTAAATACAAGATCAATATGTTGTTTGGAATGGGTAAAATGTGCTTGGAAAAAAATATAATCAGAATATCAACTTGCATAATAATTATGCATGCACTGTATTTTCCATCTTCCGCTGTCATCAGCAATGCAAGGAATGTTGTGATTGGTTGTCAAGGCAGCCAATCAGAATTTAGCAGCCTTGTCTCTGATTGGCTGGAATTATGGCATATTGTAACACTGGGTTGTGTTGAGCAAGCAAGCCGTGGCATTTAGAGAGCACTGAGGGCGGGCATCAGGTGAGCAAGCTAGTGTAACTTTGCACCCGCAAAAGAGAAGGTCTGCACACATCCAAAAACGTATTTTAAATGCAAAATTGATTTTAGTGCGCTCGAAATACTTTTTTCTTTGCGAAAGGAACATTTTCTCCACAAAGCTCAGATCGCGCGCATGCAAAATGCACTTTTGTGCGCTCAAAATATTATATTTTGCGTGCAGAATTGTGGCAGAGATCTAACCCTATATCATTCATGCATGCCAAAGAGTCATGTGTGTTTGAATTACAATTTGGGTAGGATTAGAGTGTTTCACTGTGCACATTTACTCATTTCAGATTACAGCCGAGAATAAAGAAGGACATTCAGCTTTCCTTAAACATAAAGCTACTACTAAATGTAAGAACAACCTTTTCTTATCCCAGCTACAGGAGATATTTGCTCTTTCAATTAAGTACTATATTTTTTACATATTAAATGTATCATCTTTCTCAAAGTGCTTTAAAGGTGCGCTCAGTAATTTATTTATTTATTTTATTTCTTTGTTTTACAGTAGTCAATATATACATCAAACATAAAATGATAGCCCTGTATTTGAATGTTGAGCAGCAAGCTTATTAGCTGCACTGTGTAGATAACCATGTGATTACTAGCAGGTTAAGTTAAGGACCTATCAGCCCACGCCATTTGTGATGCTGGACCACAAAACCAGTCATAAGGGTCAATTTTTCGAAATTCAGATTTATACATCTTCTGAAAGCTGAATAAATAAGCTTTCCCTTGGTGTATGGTTTGGTAGGATAGGACAATATTTGGCCGAGATACAACTATTTGAAAATCTGGAATCTGAGGGTGAAAAAAAAAATCTAAATATTGAGAAAATCGCCTTTAAAGTTGTCCAAATTAAGTTCTTAGCAATGCATATTACCAATCAAAAATTAAGTTTTAATATATTTAAAGTAGGAAATTTACCAAATATTTTCATGAAACATGATCTTTATATTCTATATGATTTAATATTCTAATGATTTTTGGCATAAAAGAAAAATCTATAATTTTTACCCATACAATGTAGCTATATATGTAGCTATTGCTACAAATATACCCCAGCGACTTAAGGCTGGTTTTGTGCCCCAGGGTCACATATAGAGTTTCATGACTGTACTTTGTTTGTATCCTGCAAGTGAAAGTGTTCAGAAACATGGGGGTTGCCAAAATAATTCTTTGGCTGATCATGTGATCTCAACATGATCTCAACATTACTGAAAAAATTTGTTAAGCTACTGATATGACTAGATCTAATCTCATGTGAGTGTACATGATTCTAAACATATTCACTTCTTTGTGCAAAACTTTTTATTGAGGAAACAATTGCTGATTGCACCTTTAAATACTGTAAGCCGTTTATTCAGCCTAGTTTAATCTGTAAATATGTTCCTTTCTTAGACAATGACAAGGCTGTCATTGGATTCTTGGCATTTCTAATCATTGTGACATCAGTTGCGCTCCTCTTCGTTCTGTTCAAAATTTACCTTCTCAAAAGAAAGCGGTCAGTGTCACAGTTTCTCCCAGCTGCCCTCTGAACTCTGTTATCACAATGTTTCTGTAACTGTTCATCTATGTTTCTGATGGGCTTTCTCACCACAGGACTGCTGAAGATGAAGAGATTCTTCTTACACGTATGTTATTCGCTCCTATCAGTCAATTCAGTGTATTTCGAAGGTAAATTGCTTTCAGAAGAATTATTTGGTTTTTCATGTCCTCCTCCAGCAGAACCCCTGCGCAGAGTTGAGCCCATCTATGCTGACGGTTTAGTGGAGGCGTACAAGAGCAAGATCGCTGATGAGGCCCGTCTGTTTATGGATGAGTTTCAGGTGATTCTCTATACCATAAATCTGCAGAAGCTACACTTACATTTAATATAATGAGAAATATATTCAGATTCTGCTTCTCCTCAGAGCATTCCCCGAATTTTCTCCAATTACACCATCAAAGAAGCGAAGAAACAAGAAAACCAGTTCAAGAACCGCTATGTTGACATTCTGCCCTGTAAATATCACTCCAGTTTCCATAAAGAAATCAGTTTACCCACAATTCCTTGTGTAGTTTTCATATTTCAATTAGAGA